TTTTTTGTCCTGTCTTACTACCACTGCTACTAGAGTTTGTCTCCGACTCTTTTTTGAGCTGGATGCAACCTCAGCGTCAGCTTGAGGAACCCATTTCAGGGGAGGACACTGGTTTTACCACCACCTTGGGGTCTGGCCCACTCCTTGATTCTTGTCATCCCCCTCTCTGTGCCATGCCATGCCATGCCATGGTGCCTAGCCCACTGCCTGACCCTCAAGTTGGTGACCGTTGTCGTTTAGCAGCGTCTGTCGACTACCATCATCTGTCTGAGGCTCGGCTTTCTTCACACCTCACCCCGCTTTGACATGCGATGTGAGCATTCCAGCTTCTGATTGCTTGTCGACAATTTTACAAAGTTTGAGTAGCTTAGGGAGTGGTAGGCGTGTACTCGGTACTAGCTCCATCTTAAATGTATCTGACAACATTTATAGATGGACGTGGTGCATCTGACCGCAAGAACGTCCACGGACGAACAAGTAAAAAACGTTCTAGTGTTAGTATGCCCTTAGTGTGGTGTGCTGAGCCAGCTCCATCTGCTTATGGGGCTCGGACAATCACCTGTGCACCACCAAGCCTGATGGATTCCTCTATTGCATTCAGCACCAGCTGGGTTTTCCATGCAATCTCTTCCCAATGTCTGTCGACGCTTCCAGTGCCGTCCTTTAGGCCTCGGACAAGCCTGGCCATTTCCGCTACCATCAGAGCCTCCTGGGGCAGCTCCGTACGAACCTCCTCAGCATACACATCGACTACCTTGCCCCAGAACCGTGACTCGTCCACAGTCAGTTTCCTGATCTCGTACACTGCGGTCTCCTCAGACGCAGGGAGGACAAAGTCGGGCATCGACACAACTGCATGGGTGCCGCTAACCTCGAATGTGAGACGCATCGCGGCCATGAAGCTCGCCTCCATGCTGCCAACAACTCCGTTGTCCCAAAACAAGTTCGCGCCGCACTGCATAATCACCCCTTCATCGTTGAGCACGGTGCGGGGCCATGCATACACCTCCTTGGGCAGTTTGTAGTCCATCGCCCACAGCATGGCACGGATGCAGTACCACCCATTGCCGCCCAGCGCCCCGAGCCCGTCAAGGTGTTTCTGTGTTCGGATGTCGCTCTTCATGAATGCCTCGGTGTTCCGGAACGTCGAGCAAACGGCATACATGGACACCAAATCGCCAAGCTGGCTTTTGTCCTTTATTATGTCCTTCACGGCATACGTGCGCGGGTGGTGCATTAACATTGTCCCATCCATGAGTTGAACACCAGCTTTGCCGCACGCTAAACGCATGTCGTCAAACTCCCGCAACTCCAACGCCACCGGCTTCTCCAAAAGAACATGTTTTCCTTTGGCAGCCGCTTTCAGTACCCACTCCCGGTGAAGACCAGATGGCAGGGGTATGTAGATGACGTCTACCAGTGGATCATCTAGGATCTCCTCGTAGTGACCGTAGCACTTGTGGCCAGGTTTCATTTGTGTAGCCTCAGCAAACTTCTGAGCTTTAGTGAGGGAACGACTCGCGATCGCATATGCTTCTGTGCCATCCACCATGTGCAATGCACGGACTATCTTGCGTGCAATGTTTGCACACCCGAGAATTCCAAATCGAACTGTATCTGATCTGCGTGTGATCCCAGAGAGATGAGAGTCCGCATCCATGATTACAGCCTGAGCTGCAGAATACGCCTGACCTGGTTTAGCTCTGTGGATCTGGGGTCCTTCCTTGGGTCTGTTTTCTTGCTGCTTCCTCTGCGTCCGCTGCGAAAGACCAGGCTTCCAATCACAGATCTGCAGAAGAGATCACAGGACAACAGGAAAGCGAGCCACAAACTCCAACCATCAGGAACAGCTCTGCCCCACAAAGCAATAGAATATGGCAGCCTGGCAGGCTCATTTTTAGGGCCCCAAATATTATGAAATCTGTTCACGGGGTTGTAGAAAGGAGAAAAGAAGGACATCGCAGAAGCTCATAATTCCTGAGCAGCATGGAGCTGCATGGAAGACCAACTTATGCTTTGGGACCAGCCATGCATGACACGATTCACACCAATCTCACACCCGATTGCACACACACTGAACCACAGTGGCCACCAGCCAGTCCACGCCACACTCAGGTATAGTCTCTCTCTCTCTCTCTCTCTCTCTCTCTCTCTCTCTCTCTCTCTCTCTCTCTCTCTCTCTCTCTCTCTC